CTTAGGAATCAAGTTCTACTTGAAGATTTTTCTTTTTATTAAATCTAAGCACTAACAAGCATTAAGACATTAAAAAGATGTACTATACAGTTACAAAGGCAATTTCTGTCACATATTGTTTTCTAAGGGGGGATCATTTATAAATCAATTCAAGAGACCTATTTTTAAACTTATCAACAATATGTTGTTGTTTTTAAGATCCAGAAACTGAAGTCCTAAATAAGCATTAAATAGTACAATGTAATGGCTGAGGTGCTGGATTGAGAAGACCTTGGTTCAAGTCTCCATGCAACTTCCAGGTTCATTTGGTGACTTCAGTCCAGTTACTCTCTCTCACCCCAACTTACTTCATAAGGTAATTTGTTTGGGGGAGTAAATTAGGGGAGGACTTCACATATCCAGATAAAAGATGGGATACAAAAGCAAGAAATAAGTAAGATTTAGTTAAAGTAAAAAGAATGTACTTCAGTATAAAGATCAATTTCACCCGAGATCAGGGTAACTGAAGGTCCAAGATGAAGCACATTTACAATACTTGGAAATGTATGATCAGTTAGCCAAATACACATTTTGGTTCTGATCAAAACTACTGGACACCATGTTTTTGGAATACAAGCAGAGATATGCAGATATTTACTACCCCAAGCAGTAATAGACTAATGGGACAGATGTGCAGATGACAGAGATTTGCTGGTAGATCTTGGTGTAATTTGCAAATTATATTTGCAGTATCTGAAACTCTTGCCAATGGTTGCAAAATCTTCCTCTACCCCAACCCTAAGTTAGACTCCTATACAGAAGAAAAAAAAGAGATTTGAATCCTTAGGTAAGAGGACTGTAGGTTTAGTTCTGATATGGGGAAAAAAATATTGCCATGCTGTCTGAGGTATCCTGATTCTCAATTCTAAGTATAAAGAAACCCCATTTTGTATCCAATTCTGTTTTACCTTTGCTTTTTTTTAAAAAAAGAGTAGGTCTGAGTTGAAGTTGTGTCTGACCAACGCTTCAATAAGGCATATTAGCCCTAATATCCTATGGCTCTTGACTGAAATAAATGAGAGCTCTTTTCTTTAAATGAACTCAGAAGGATCAGGTGATAATAAACTTCATCACTTTAGGTTCCCTTGATGAGATACACTGACAGAAAATGTCCAGTTTCTTTCTAGGACAACTTAGGGATTAGAGCAAAACATTAGGATAACTACCTCCATGGCAAACTAGGCTTCCCACAGGTATGGGAAGAGGCAAATTGGCTGGCTGCAATGTCCCAGTAAAAGAACAGAATGAGACTTCCAAGTGTTATATGCCAGGAACCAGTTTAGTAAAGCATTTAATGCAGCTTCAAGCCAAACAAGTTTCTATGAATAAAGCAATAAATCAATGACTTTACTTTAGACTTCTCCCAAAGTTTTGACATTTTTCTTCCCCAAACTCTTCTGGGGACAATTCAAATAGCTTGGCCCAGGAAATAATGGCAACAGCATTTGATCTATCTGGCCATATAATACGTAGGTTACGCACATGTACATGTTTGCCAACGGCTCCAGCGATGATCAAATATCATGTTTTGTTCTCTAACAGGCTGTAATAAAACCAATCCTTTAAAGCCTTTGGTGCACCAATCAATTCTTAATTCCTACCTTTGTCTGTTTCCACTGTCTATTCCATGGTCTCAACTGAAGCACATGAATATACATATGCTGACAAATCTACTCAAATACTGATGAATAAAAAGAGGGTTCAATTCTTCACAGCTGAGAAAAAATAAATAAAAATACATTAAGATGAAGAGTAACTTTCAGAAAGGTACTTCTTAAACCTACAGCAGCTCCAAGATTCTACTTACACTGAGCTTGAAGTTCATTTCAAAAGAACTTTGTTTCATTTATAACAACAACCTATTAACACAGTCAAGATCAAATGCAGAGACGCTCAAAGACTGAAATTAAAATGTATTGTTGGAGTGATGTGTCTTACAAAGTAAACAGTACAGTTACATCTGTAATATATGCTACTATAATAATAATTAAATAGCAAGGAGAGGTATATTTAAAGAGTATAAACCACCCTCCGAATTCAGACTACACTTTCTCAAAGGTATTAAAAAGCCACATGAAGAGTCACATTAGCTATTAATGAAATACATTTGAATGATTTTATTAAAAAATACCCAGCAACAATTCAGGTAACAAAAAACACTTAACTTTTTCTTATTCCATAAGATAGTTTAAGCAAGGAGGAGCTTGAAAAAATGTTTTTCCAGTTACAGAGCCTATAAGAGGCAAGAAGCAAGTAATTATCAATAACACTATGAAACAGCCATGGTTAAAAAAAATGAAGTGACAACACTTGTAACATAGTTTTACCAACCATTATTTTATATAGATTATTAGTCTGAGCTTTAAAAAAATTCTCTGAGACAAAAGTAATTAAAATTCCTGAGTCAGGCATTCATTTTCCAAGGTGTTAGGAAAATGAAACAAAAGTATTTAAGATATCTTCTAATAACTTTTATGGCACACTTTGGTCTTTCAGCAGACTTGTAATTCAATCAGGTGCAGCAATATTGATCTGCAATTTACTTAATTCAATTTTGCAGCAAACTAAATTAATATAGAATCTAGAGAGGAAGTGCCTAATACACTCTTAATAACCACAAAAAATATTACGGAGAATGGGGAAAACAAACCCTTTAGCATAGGTGCACCTCATAGAGCATTGCTCCTCTCTACCCCTCATCTCTTATAAAGATGGCTAAGAGAGGCTCCTATAGAAATACAGTGCTATACAGTACAAAAAGGAATGAGAATATCCACCTGTTTTACTCAAAGCAAATAGTAACTTAAAAAGAAAGATTGTGATTCGGACTAAATCTGAACAAACTGTCTAGTTTTATCCTTATATCATCATGTAAACATAATAATTTCTGGTTTACTGTAAAGCAACTTACCTCCCTGGTTTATAGGGCTAAATTTGTTAACATTAAATACCTTCTGACTATAGATGCACACAGTCTAAGCAAAAGCTACCAAAGGAAAGATAAAAAATGAAAAACCCAAATTGTGCATACCCAACTCACTGGAAGGGGAAGAGTAAGATACAACAAAAAAGACAAGAGTGTTGCAATAGTGTTTAATACATTTGTCCCAGCAGAGAAATAAGGGAAAATCAGATATTAGCTTATTGCTGTAATACAGTCCAAAAATATACATTTGCTACAAGACTACATATATTCTGATGGCAATAATTTGGTTGAAACTGCATGCAAAGTCACATAATAACTTCTGCTGCCCACAATTCAAGATACATCAAAAAGTACATTTTGTTCTGGTACCTGAAGATACATAAATGGCTTAAGCAGTAAAAAAGGGCTTTTATCCAGATTAAACATTTCAGAAAAACTGCAGGTGAGTTATCACTTCAATGGGTGTTATCAGATGTTACTACCTGTATTACTGACTTACAGTGAAATCAATTGCAATCCAAAAACATTTAGGGTTTCTCTGTTGCTCCCTCTCACACACATTGTGTTGCAACCTTCTGCTATCTGGCTTTCCAGAAATTACAGTATTCCTAGCCAGCATGAGTTCCTAGAAATTCCAATTGGAAGCTGCAATATTAGGAAACTGGCGCAATTCATCTGGCACTCATTCATTTAACTAGGAATTCTGTCCTTAGCTAACAGGATATTCAATAAAAGCAAGGAGTAAGCAACAGCTTAAAAGACAGCAAAACAGTATCTCTACTTCTCCCATTCAAAGCAAGTAACCCTGGAGTAAGCTGTTGCTTTTTAGAAGTCCAGCAGAAACTAATAATACCTATACAATGGAGCACCGTAAGATGAATGTTCAAATTTTAACTTTGTTTTCAAAAGATCTTTTCTCATAACATGTACACAATTTTATTCTTTATCCTTGAAGAACCTTCATCATCTACTTCTCTCAAGATATTTGAGTCCAAGGCCAAATATGAAGGATACATTTTCTTCACCCAGGGTCTATTGATATCCTGATTCACAGCAATTTAGATGGCTTTAAAAAAGGATCAGACAAAATGATTACACAGAAGACTTAACAGCTACTAACCATGTGACTTATATAGAATCAGAGATAGCACAGTTCTAAATGCCAGTTGCTGGAGAATCATAGCAGAAGGCTATTGCTCTATTCTGCTTACAGACTAATACAATCATCTGGTTGATTGCTATGGGAATAAGACGGGCAAGATAGGCCTTAATTTTACAGTGCTCTATTCTTACATTCCTAAGATAATACCACCATGTATGACAAATTGCATCTCCTCTGGTCAGGAGTCACAAGTTTAAAACTGTTAACTATAAATTAAAATTATTAAAATATTTTTCTAGAATTTAGAACTAGTCTTCAAAATTATCACCATAGAATACACAAGGAAATGGTATTTCAAATAGCAGGATTACTGAAATGCAAAAACTATCAACCAAGATTACTAATATTTATATGGTAAGAGTACCAATCTCCTTGCCATGTGGCCACTTAACTTTCTTTTACATTCCAAACAAGCCAACTTTAGTCTCATGTCATCTGTTTTCCCATATTAGAATCCCTTTAGTCTACTGAACTCTCAGAAACTGAGGAATTTTTATTAAATTCAGGGACCCTAAATATACACTCATTTAACTTAAGAGTTACCTTGAAAGAATTGCCACATCATGTAAGTGGGCAATAATTGGTTTGGAAAAGGCTCTTGGGATTGTAATGGATATGTCAAATAAAAATAACAACTCAATGTGCAATTACTATGAAAAAGACAAATTCCATGCCAGGCATATTACAAAATGAACAGAAATTAAATTGCCAATATCTTAATATTGCCACACTTTGTCTAACAGTTCTTATCACCACACTTAAACCTCTTTCATATTAGGTTTAACAGAACTGAAGCTGAATGAGAATTCAGGAAAGATCACATAGAAGACACAGTTAAAATTATGAAATTCACAATTCTAAATAGCTGCCAATTTGGTTGGCTTTTAGACAAATTCATGGATGGTAAGGCCACCAATGGCACTAATTGTGGTAACTAGGTATTACCTTCAATCAAAACAAAACAAAATGAAACAAAACCACAGCATGCCTCTTAATGTTAGTTGTTTAAGAATACATGCAGGAGAGGCCTTTGATCTGACCCAGGGTAGGTCTTCCCAATCTACCTTCTTCTCCATCATTTTATACAACTTTATTTTTCCTTAGTTTCTGCTTTCTCTAAAGGACTCTATCATGGGTTATTTATATAAGGCATCCTCTTCCAGATACAATCTTAGGAGTTCCAAACTTAAACAAATATATCAAGGTAAGCATGTAAGAACTCTCAATCAAAATTGGGTAAAAGATGTGTGTTGGGTAAAAAATGTGCCAACATATACTTTGGATTTGAGCATTTTCTTGATTATCCTAGTAAGTGGGAAGCTAAAGCATCAAGAGTGAAGGACAAAACCCTCTATAGAGTGTATAAGGCTTTCCTCCCAGCCACACTGGATAAGACTCTGCTACTACAGTACTATTTCTCCTTAAAGAAAAATAAAGCTAATATTATCAAGATGCTGAGGCCATTATTTATTCAATTCTATGTTGTAAGAAATTCACCTTTAATTGCTAGCATTGAAGGGGCAACATAAAAATAGTAGTTTAAAAAAAATAACCAAGAGCTACTTCTGGCATAGATTACCTTCTCTTAGTTTCCCAAGGAAGCAAATTAAAACTCACAACAGTACAAGTATTTTTGGAGGGGTGAAAACCTCCAACAATTTATCACTGAAAACTGAAATTTCAAGAAAAGATTATTTAAAGCCAGAGTTTCAAAAAAATTACTAGTTGCATAGATGAGTGTCAGACAAATGGATTTAGGGTAATTTCATCTTCATTGTAACTTAAGTTAAACTTTACTTTAACTTGTAATGGCTGTTGACTCAAACATATTGTCTCTTTAGTACAAAGAACCAAAATATTGCTGAGTGGAGACAAATAACTCTTAATAGCTAAAATACCTTTATCTCCAAGACATACTATTCATCCGTACTTTGTTAAGCCCACCCATTGGCTTAGTCAGAACAATTCTAAATATGATCCAGATGTTAGATTGTCAGCTGTTCTGTTAAATTATACAGGAGTGCCTGTCTGCATAAATGATTAAGATTCATGAACTGTATACCGGCAGTATACATCCTAATTTTAAAAACTTGCTTCATGTATTCAATATACACCTTTAGCAGGAGTTCTCTATTAGCCCGCTGCAAAGGGAAGTGGGGGGTGGAGAAAGATAAAGATGTCAAAAAAGGGGGATGATAACAAAAGAGACAATTTGCAGTGTCACCCACCAATAGCGTCCATGAGATTACTCCTGAAAGAACATAGCCCTTGCCAAAAATAAAGGTTTGTTTTACATCATATAGCTTGCAGTCACCCACATGACAATATTCTCATAAATCATTATGAGAATGAGCTTCCCCAGCAATCAAATAGCAAGTGTTTTACAACATTACTTTCAATCTCCTGAAAACAGAAGTAATATTTAAAGGAACAAATTAATACTGAAAATTAACAACTGTAGATTTTTAGGAAGCCTTCAGGCTATTTCCTACCAAATGCAAAATAAAATGTAAAACACAATGCATAACCTTTCAATGTAATATACAGCATTTTAGTGTTTTGTATTCAAATAAATGTGGACTGCCTCAAACAGTGCACACCCTGGATAAAATGTTAAGAACAATTATTAAGCACCAGTCCTACACATTCATCTGGATCTCCCTGGACTTCCTTCTGAGTACAGGACTACATTGTGAAGGCAACATTTAACTGTCATGAAAGTAACTTTGCTATTGCTTAAAGGAGAGCCTGCTCTAATGCATTTTGATATCACTATCTGTAACAGGTGCTTGTCAACATGTACGTACTGAAGTCATATTATTCAAGCTAAAGGCAATCTTAGGTATAATAAAGCTAGTCTGTCTGTGGATTTATATCATCCACACAACGATACAGCAATATTAAAAACTGGTGGTAAGTTGGAGCTATATATATTCAGCAAACAAGACAGTGTTATTCATTCCATAATGTCATTCAAGAATGTGTCCTTAGAAAACATGTTAAAATACTTCCAGTGGAATCAAAAGATGTTCAAATATGTATAGTTCAGGTAAATGAATTTCTGCATTTTCAGTTTCCTCCAAACTGGACAGTCTTAATACAAAGTGAAAAGGAAAATGATGGTAAAACAATGGAATTGGTCATTGGTAGAAGAAGAAAGCTAACTTATGGTGTATTCTTACAGAATCCACACTGGAAGCTTCTGGAAAATTAGAAAATGTTCACTAAAATTATGGTTGCTGAAGAAATACTTTGGCACTATGAAACAGAAGAAATAGGATTAAGTGGAGAGCCCATTTGGGTAAGTACTTTATCCAGCCACTGAAGAGGCCCATGAAGATGGATTTCTATCCAACATGGGGTGCTTGTAACATCTTGTCGGTGGTATTCTGCTCCCCATCCCTACAAAAAGTGATACATATTTAACTAGATTAGAATTATACACTGAACAACTGATTAATACAACAATTTCTATTTTTATAAAAGGGTTGTCATTAAATTCTTAAAGTAGTCCAGATACAAGAACTAAGAGAATATATGGTTTGAAGAATGTCAGCTCCATGCTTATCTCCATTCCACTCAACAAAAACCTGTCCTTGAGCCATCAATCCCTAATCTGATGTCATCTAGTCTTTTTTGGACTACAACCCATATTCTTTTTACCTATGATGGGCACAAGGTAGGGGATGGCTCCCTCAAACCTAACCCACTGTCCTCTCCTCATCAACGTGTGAGTTAGGATTTCCTACATACATAAAATACTAGACCAGAAGTGGGGAACCAGATGTTGCAAAACTACAACTTGGCAGAAATCCCAGTCAACATGACCAATCATAAATGGTACTGGAATTGTGATTAACCCCTGAAAAGATTACAGATTCATACCCCATTTTTCTTGTGAGGGAGAGGGAATAATATTATTTAGTAGGCCAATAGAAAGAAGCCTATAATCCTCATCCTTATTTCATCTTGCAAATGAATAAAGAAGAAAGGCATCTATCCAACTGGTACCTACTTATAAATCATTCACATCAACAAAAGAATAATAAATCTGAGATGCTGAATTAGCTCTGAGGATTTGCTAATTAAATATAGTAATCTACCCAAAACCTGTTCATATGTTAAAATTGCAGTCGTGCTTAATACAGTCCAAATATATTTCAAACACATACAATATGGTAAGTAACAAATATGTCACATCTTACCTTTACAAAACTCATTCGAATTGTGCACATTTTGGTGAGCTCATACACTGCCTCAAACCCATGATTGACTGACTGAGCTAGAAGTTGAGCGAATTCCTGATTGTTAAAAATTTTAAGACTACAGCCACTGGGAATCTTGCATACAGTTGTAGGGTGAAATCCATGATGGTAATTACAATTCCTACTTTGTACGAATATGCTGCTGTCACTCAGGCATTCTGCATAGACTTCCCCACCAACATAGTACAGATGAACGCCTGGGGGAAGGGAAAAAAAACACTAAATATTTAACACAGTTAACTTGCAAAAATGATTATAGCGTCTTCCTTTCAGCTGTTAGGAAGTCTAGCCAAATTTCTATTTGAAAGGATTCCCACTGTTTCCAGTTGTTTAAATATGTCAAGTGTATAATTTCAAACACCAAGTATCTTAACCACTAGATGTCCTCCTCTTCCTTCACTATAGTACATGATAGGATTCTTCAATAAATAAATGATAAACTGATTTTTTTTTAATGTCTCATCAATTGGGCTTGATGTGCAAGCAGAGTGGTATGGAAGACAGCCTTTAGGATTTTAAAAGTCATCACCAACACTTTGAATTGTACCTGGGAAAAACTTGCATGCCCTGTAGAACAAATTAGAGTCCTGCCAGTTAGCATTCATCATTATGCTCACTGCTGCATTCTGGGCCCAATGTCATTTTGAACAACTCTTCAGATAGTCACAAGAAAAGTACATTGTAATAAAATCCAATCTAGAATTAAGACATATCTCACTATGGCAAGTCTGGTAACAAACCAACTGACGCAGGTAAAAAACCAACTGACACTTAACAAAGTTGCCTCCTGAGATTCCAAGTGCAAAGCTATATCCAGAAGCACCTACAAACCACAAACTGATTTTTCAGGAAGATGCTATACCCTGAACTGGGCTGCACTCTGCCAGATCATCCTTTGTAACACAATACTATTCAAGTATATTATGGAACATGCAATCCTATCACCTGCTTTTTCCTTAATTTGTCTTTTCCAAACTTGAGCCAGGAAGTTTATAATGGCCATTTTTAGCCATCTCTCTCCCCTTTACCTCTTAATTTTTATTTTCAGTATGACTTGTTATGACAGAGTCAGGATATCTATACAAATAATTGAAATGTATACACTGAGTACAAGAGATTAGAAAATAGTTTACCATTTGTTTACCACTAAATCTACAATGGTAAAACTCTTAATAGAAAATTGTAGATGCAATGTTTCATTTATAAAGTTGCAAAAATGTCAAGTTGGCATTTGTTTTCAAGCTGAATCATTCAGATTTATAGTATTTTTTATGTGGTGTAACAATATTCAAAACTGCATAATTTTATTTAATTTATCCAAACTGCAACACAGACAACTTACAATCATATAAAGTACACTTAAGAATTACCTTTTCCAATGTGTCTCCGGGTGTTCTCAATTGTTGAGTTGCGATTAACATTGGAAAGCAAGCCTAAGCAGAATCTGTTTTTGTTGTTAGAAGGATCTGTAAATCCATCTACTAAGATACTAGTAGAAGATGCATGAAAAGCCTCCCCAACACGATTGTTTAATTCATAATATACAATTGAACACCAGTGCTTGGGTTCTTCATAGGCCACAGGATGAACATCTACGAACAAACATGAAATACCTGTAATAATTCCAGCATCTACAGCCTCTTCTCTACAGTATTTAGCATTCATGCATTCCTTATTGCTGGAAAAAAAAAAAACTTCAGGTATATTCCTGCAGACATCTTCTCAGTAGTTTGTGCCATCAAAAGCAGACTACAGACTATAAAGACCACAGTGTTACTCCAGGCCCTTGAATTCATCAGTGGGTTATATATGCATAAATTGAAAGATCAACAGCAAAACTTCTTTAAAATATTCTAACTGTAATTGAACTATTTATTCCTTTAGCTAAAATTCAAATTGTGTAATAAACATTTTTTCTAAAGATTTTCACTTACCAAGAAAAACAATAAATACAGAATTAAAGATGTTACTTTACATGGTTGGCATGTTCAATATATGCTGAAACATTCAATAGAGGCAGCTATTCTTTTAAAGAACAAGTCTATAGTTAAATGACTTCCATAAAAAAAGTTCCATTTCTCTCAAAAATAGTTTTAAGCCATTACTATTAGAGCAAATGAAAGGTATTTATTTTGTCTTGTTATCCTTTTCCAAATTCCAACTGACTATTCTCCTTGGCATAACCTTGAACCTTCTCTTGTCAACAGTGTGCAACACACAAATATATGCTCTGGAATGCAGGTTTCAATTTCTTATGTATGGGAATCAACAGTGTATAACCCTCAAAATTTTCCTCTAGCTTCCATTTAAATACAGGTCTCAGTGCAACTTGTATTTTAAAACAAAGCACTCTCAGGTTTGTATTTCCCTCACCCTTTTTAAATCCATGATTCAGGTGAAAGGGTAAAATGCTGATCAGATGACATTATGCTCCTCTTTCTGGTCAACAAACTCCCTATTTCGCTAACAACCAAATTCTTAAATTTAACAAGCTGATCCCAAGTAGATAAGTCCGAAGACAGTATTAGATGCTGCACTTCAAAAACTATTACCTCCAGCAGGAAGAATAAAAGGTGTGATGATAATTTATCTTCTTCTATCGTAACTGTAATTGGCAAATTATCAAAAAGTGTCAAAATATTAGCAAATTTATCAAGTACAGTACATCGTTTACCTCACCTCTGCTCGAAACATTGGGCATTATCTGAGGAATTATACTATTGCTTGTATCCATAGACTGGGAAGTATCTTGACCCATTTGGTCTTCAGGAGGCATATAGGCAGGGGGTGGTGTATCTGCTATAAATAAAAATTTTTGAAATTTGAGCAACATTAGTACATTTATCTAGAACTAGTAGAGCTTTTATTTTTTTCATCTATAATCACTACTTGTCATTTGTCATCTTCTGCCTCTTCCTATTTTGGTTTGGAATCTAACAATGTTCTATCGTGAAAATGTTCTCTTCATTCTCAGTTGATGTTTCCATGGGCCTCATTCTCTTCTTCTGCCACAGTCACGTATGTCACAATCTCTCTGCTCCATCTAGCTGAAGCCGTTTCATTTTCTAGTGATTAGGAAGAAGTACCGTCAGATTCTCGGACTGAGATAAACTTGGAAGCTGTTTCCTTGATATTAATGGGCTCCAGCTCAAAGTGAATGTAGGACAACCTGTAAAATGTTGTTTCTAATTTTGCCACTTATTTTACTAGTTACTGCTACTATTTCTGCTTTCAATTTATTCTCAGAACCTCTACAAGCTTCTCTCCTCCTTCATATCTCTTTGCTTCTACATCCCAACCAATGTCTATGTAATTAACATGAGTAAAAATACAGCATAACCTATATGTTTTTCTAATTTCATCTGGCTTTATAATACAAGTTCTACTTTCCAATGTTTCTCATACAAGTAGTCTTTACCTGGTAGCTGAAATGGGCTAGATGGCCCAGAACTAGCTGGAGAATTTGGATAAGTACTGCTGCCTGGAGATGGTGGATATGGACTATTTGGAGACATGGGAAATGGAGTGCTGTTGGGCTGCTGGAACGAATCCGGAAAGGTAGCATTGTGCGGCATATGTGGCTCATTGTGAGTTAAGTTTCTGAACTGAACCAAAAGGCTATGCTGTGGATTAAATTCACTGTGCCTTGGCACCAAGACTGGAGGTAAAACTGAAAAACAAGCAAACATATTAAAATAACCTTGAAGATCCACACAAAATCATTAGCTCTTGAGGAGTAAAAGATGCAGAGAAAGAAGCACATGCCAGAAATCCCAAAATAATTAGTTATACAAACCACAGGAATGTACAACCTGATGCCCCAAGGCATATGTTGTCCCACAAAGTCTTGAGGCCCCCAAATTTCCTCCCGAAATTGTTGCTCAATTATAATGTTTAATGTAACAGGAAGTGAAAATTATTAAAAGCGTGAGAATTATATCTACTGATGTTTACGCTGAATCGAGTTGTGGTTTTGCCCTGGACTCCCCCCCTCCCAATTTTTTCTTTTTTGGAATTCTACCCAAGTTCCCCACCGAAGCTCTTGGCTTCAAAAAACGGCAAGCACTATGAAGGGCATGAATGACCAATCCATTTGCAACTGAACTACAACAAACTGCACAGAACTCTAAATAATGCAACACAAAGCTCTTCTGGGTTAACCAAGGCTACTGCACAAGATGCCTGAACAACTGTTACGTTAAATAATGGAGCATATGGAATAGAAATATTTTAGGAAATATTTTCCTGACTTTGCACAATTACTTGATGTATGATTATTGAAAAAAGCTAAAATATTACCATGGAAATTAACAATACAGTTATCAAATCTTTCTCTCTTATCGGTAAGAGTATTCAAAAATTTGTTTCAAACAGCATAAAATTCAGGGGGAAACAATCAAAGGCAGGGTTCACATAACTTATTAGGTTACTATGTGGCTTTGTTTTGTTTTAGACCCACCTTTAAAGCAATGGATGGGCCCTATCAGCATGGTTTGTAAACCATGGTTTATAGGATGGCTGCATGATCTATGGACAAGGCTATTATGAGCTTCTCAACAAGCTATGATTAAAACAAACCATGAATTGATGCAATGTGTGACTGTAGTCCAGAAAGTATCAATATTCCCCAGATGCAATTCACATGTACCAATCTATCCCTCCCATTTTCAGTATGCTACTCCTCACCAAGTCAGCTACTTTTTGGTGGGTAAAGGCATTCAAACACACCTGGGCTCTCCACCCTTTTGTAGTGATATGGATTGATGCAAACTTCTTTCTGTTTAGATCCAAAAGGAAATTCACAAATGTCCAACGGCTTCAGCTCATGATGACTCTGCAAGTCAGGCCAACGCCACACACGGCAGTAGATAACGTGGGGAAGGCCTTTGCGGTGTGAAACTTGAAGTCGCCCATCTAACGAACGAGGAATAGTAACACATTTGCTGGGCTGTCCAGGACTACTTAGTGCTTTTTCCAGCTCCTCCATAGCTCCTTTTTTCTTCTTTAGTTTTTTTACCAAAGCATCAACTGCTTTTTCTGCCCATTTTTCTTCTTCATCGCCTTGTTTCCAGCCCAACAAGCGCTTTACAGCTGGGCTAGTAAAAGAGAACAGACTGGCCATTGAGGTCATTTGACAAGTTTTAAAGCAATTTTTAGAACAAAACTGCTTATTCTCAGACACAAAAACAACTCTGCAACTGTGGCAGCAGTTGATTTCTTTTTAATCCAAGGAAGTGATTTTTTTTAGACCTATAAGAAAAATTACAGAACATTAGTTGATGCTAGCTTACCAGAGAAATGAAGGCAAAGACAGAGAATAATTGGATAGTTTTAAACCTAATTACGTTTAAATGCCACACAATGCATATTCATTAACTGCCTTTTAATGTGAACCCATTTTCATGCCATGGGGATCACACTTAAAAGAGAAAACAATTGGTGGCAGTAACAAAGGAAGTCCTTTGAGCCAAAACTCCTTCTATCATTCATAGATTAAGGCTAATCATTTGATCAAATGGGGGGGAAAGCTTGGATTTTTTTTATAAAGATGTATAAAAAGATGAAGCTTATTTTAAATTTCAACCAATTTATAACATGTCCAGTTATTGAAATGTTTAGTGTGTCTTAAGAGAAGATGCATATCTATTAAGAGATCAGTGGAAACACTCTAGTGATTTCTATAATAAATGTGGTTAATGTATGCAAGAAACATTTAATAGGATTATTTTAGAAACTGATAGCAATTCGGCACTATATACACAAGAGATTCTGTGATTCAGTTCTGGTACTGAAAAGCTATTGTAGGCTTCTGAGTCCCGAGCCCTACTGTTCCTTTTCCTGGCTGTTGACCCATCATGAACACTCATGTTGTGATTATGGTCATAAGAAGAGAATTTATGTCTTTTGAAGAGAAGGAACAACAGTGCCAGCAGCAGTTAAGTAGGTGAGCATACTCTGACAGAGGAACCACTGAGGTCCCTTGCCACGGAACACTGCTCAGACCCCGAGAGAGTCAATCTGGTTTGCTGCAGGATAGAAGTGAAATAAATAAATAAAATATATAGAGAGATAAGAAAACACCATAGAATAAATGGCAAGAATTGGTTCATGGCTTCAGAATGTTATTATTGCTGAGAGTAACAAACACCCCCTTTTCTGTTACTAACAAGGTCCATCTGCAACTCTCTTTAAAAAATAAAAAGGAGTAAGGATGACAAACGGAACTAATGTGCTGTGGCAACATGTTGATAAGACCTCATAAAATCCCTGAAGAATACTCAACAAGTACAGACATAGACAATAGGCAGCTGGCAAAAAGCAGCACTAAACAAAGAGAAAGGATGTCAATAACAAGTCAGTTCCGTTCCTGCTACAGAAACTGCCAAATACTGACTTTGGGGTTTCTGATAAAACTACAGCAAGTCAAAACAGCTAGCCCACCCTCCCACATTTTCAGCCCATCAAACCCGTGGTACTGAGGGCCAGAAAGCTGCCTGCTGGCCCTGCCAATTCTCAAAAGATGCTGCTTCCAGAAAACCCACTGGCTGGGTACGAGAATGTGCCTGGCAAGCACAGCTACCTGTTTTTTCAGCTGAGGGAAGACAGCGGCGGGCAATGTGAGCAGCGACAGGCAACAGTTTGTTACCATCTGCATTCGACATCTCTCTCGATGGGGTGACGGAAGGCTGCACGACTAAACAAGAAAAATCACATAAAGTGCAGTCCAGCGATAGCAATCACACGTGTGCCTTCCCTCCTCTTGCTAGGAAACTATCAGGATGCCACAGGTGCTGACTTGGTACTCTCTGTATTATCATAACAGGGCTGAGCTGACAAAGCATATTTCCTCATTCAGAATCCTAGCTCTGTATGTGCTCCCCAAGAGGCAATAAGAGACTTAGGGCTGTTTTCCCTCGAAAGGCAAGTTAATCTGTGCTTGAAACGTATAAATGGAAGAGTACAAATATTTACATGTCTGAACAGACCTGGACCCAGCGAACTAAAGTTCCCTGCATATGGCAAGTTAGCCACAGTGGGAGACTGAGCTCGCTGGTGTTTCGGGGCAGAACCCTGTTCCCGCACGGGGCCACTCAGCTGAAGTACAGAGCCCGTCAGCTGCTGACTGAGGGATGGCCACAAAAGGCAGGTTGCATGGCCTTGCAATACTAATGCTTTAAAAAGACATTCTGCAATATCGATCCTTGTCAGGTCGCCCGCAAGCCTGGGCCAGGCCCAAGCCAGGAAATCTCGGGCTCCAGCCCCGGCTTCCAGTCCGGCGCGCGGCAGAGTTTCGTGGCGGGGGGAGCTGCTGCTACGAAGGTCCCCACCCCCACCCTGGCTTGCAAGGCGAAGAAGCGCCAAGCGCGATGCGGACGCCCGCTCTACCCCCAGCGGCGCTCGCTTGCAAAAGGCGGGGGGCTCCGGGGGGGGGGCCCCCCCCCCCCCCCTCCCCCCCCACCGCCGCTCGTTTGCAAAAGGCGGCGGGCTCGGGCGGAACGCCCCCCGCCGCCACCTCCCCACCCAGCAAGGCACGGAGGGCACCCTCCTCCTCTGCCCCCCGCGTTTCCAACGGGTCTACCTACCGCTTGACGCGCGGCTGGCGGCCGAAGGTGGAAGCTGTAACCCCGGCCAGTGGACCGACGGAGCCGCGGAGGAGGGAGAAAGGGGCGGATCCAGGCATGTCAGTCGACCCGAGCGCACACGTGACGGGCCATAAGGCGAAATGCAGCTGGTTGAGCCCATGCGTCACTCAGGCGCCCCGAGCTTGTGATTTGCAAAAGAAAGGGAGGAAGGCGGGATGGAGCGCGCGCTTGGGCTCCGGGGGCTGGAGGGGAGGAGCGCAGGCCTGGGCTCTTCGTGCAGAGTTGCGTTCGCCGTGTAGCTCGCGCTTTGTTCCCAGCCTTTGGCATGGCCGGACGGCTGCCCCAGTGATTTCTTTCCGGCGCGGAGGCTCAGGAGCGAAGGAACGCTTCGGTTTCTTCGCGATTGTGACGCGGATTCAGATACTTCCGCTCCCTAATACGACTTTTTCCCGGGCCTCCGCGACTTCCTTCTCTAAATGTAAAGCCGTACTGAATGCAAGGATGCCTCTGTGTAGAGGGGTGGAGTATGAATATTCACATTGGCGGATTTTTTTTTTTGTTGTTGCACAATTTTGGAACTAAATTGGAAGAGCGGAGTTCTGTCGAGGCCTGTGAAACTCTGCTGGCGACCATATGCTGGGATGGATAGGGGAATGAATGCTTAGATCCCACACCACAATGCTTGACAGAATGGAGACCGTCCCCTCCCCTTTCCTCCAAAAAGAGAATCGGGAGGCATTTGTCACCCATCGTTATTGTGCATCACCATGAGCAATAATCCCCCCCCCCCTCGTTCCAGTTTTTTATCACAGAGACTCGCTTGTACAAATTTAATCAGCAAATAAACATCGCTGGCAACTTGTCACGATTCAGAATAGCTGTTGATGCTTTTCTGTTGTATTTTGGGGGGAAACATCATGCAGGCAATAAAATTTGCTGAAATACAGTATTACTAGAGGAAGCAATGAACGTTTAGCACGAAACCATCTCCAGTTTAGCTCTTATTCTTTCCTGCGTTATCTGTCTCTAAACAGAACTGCACAGAACCAGTGGAAATGTTCTGTCTTCATGCATAGGCATACTTAGGTGCCACGAGGAAGCTCTCAAAACAGTTGCCCTGAATCTTCCAAGATAAATGACATTTCAAACATTGAGCAGCAAGTTGAAAGGTGTGTTTTGCAAGGTGCCCTCCAATAGGGCTGCACAGTCCTTTTCCTGAACAGAAATCTGGCATTTCAATTAAAGTGAATTTCTTGTGTCAGCTTTATATTACACTGCATCTAACCCAAGGGTGGATAGTCCTCTGGATGATTTTCAGGAAATCCATGATTTTTGACCCCCGGTAGTTAGTAGCAGTAACAACAAATCTTTAAACCCCCTTCAAATTAGTCTGCTGAAATAATATTTAGGAAATAGATCTTCATGGGAAGGTATTTGTATATAAGCTGTACTGAAAACAAAACTTTAGGCTGAGCATGTATATGTCCTGCAATTTGTTATAAGTCCATTCCAGTATAATGCCTATGTTTGATTATCACGCTCTGCTACAGTTAGTTATGATAGGAGCAGCCTATATGCTTTGTACAATAAATACATACAGTTAAATACTAGATTTATGAAATTTTCACTTTTATGCACTTCACCACTCTTGTTCTTCATAAAGAAACTGGCATTTTTTTCAATGAACATCATGAACAAAACATATTCTGAAATAACAAGAATAATGCCAGTAGTGGTACAGACTTTGGCAGCTAATGTGTTGGATGCATCATTATGAGAGAGAAAAAAAAGGAAATCAATAAAATATTTTTATTTAAGCTGGCTCAGTTTTAGAAAAGTATTCTGTCAAGGGCCTCTAAAAACAAGAACAATGCAAAAGAACCCTCTAGTAAATATACACTATCACAGAAGTGATGGTGATGGACAAATAAGCCCTCTTCCATGCTCCCACTACCATATATAGGCCCTTGAGTGTGCTTTCTCCATTGACATCAGCTGCCAGAACTGCAAGAGGTATAGCTGTATATGCCACACAGTTGGGAAAATGGAAGCTTATCATTCATTCTGACTAGAAGATGTGCTGGTCATGGGTTTGTGGCCCGGCAAGACCTAGTACCACAGGAAACAAAAATGTCAAGGAAAGCCCAAGAAGAATTCAAGCTTTTGCATATGCCTTGCGAACTCCATTTCAACCAACTCTGTAGCCCAGGCCACAGGTACAGATAACAATGGTTATCATTTGAACCAGAGGCTATACTAGTTGTCTAAGGATCTTGTGGGCCTTATGAGAAGTTGCTGGTAGTTCCAGAATCAATCATGGTCTGGATTCTTAGGGCTGGGAAACTGAAGTGTGACTGGTACTACCAGTTGTTGACTGTGTATCAGTTCAAGGGCTGGGACTGCATGGAGGGCATTGTTTCCATAGTTCAGGAACCTCTCTAGACCAGGCACCACCCTTTTCCCCAGATAAGAAAATATAGCTTCTTGGCTGGGTATGTGGAAGCCCATTGTCCTTGGTCACTGCAGTACAATTGCACACTCGGACCTTGCTTTGCTTTCTCTTCAGGCAAAGCACTTTAGTGGCCCCACTAAATCTGGATGATGTTTCTGGAGTTTTCTGCAGTGAGAGTTTGAGGCCATGTTGTATCCTGGAAGAGAATGAATGGAGACTTGCTTGGCACTGGTCCAGATGCATATCAGTTTTTGAGCACTGATTAAGATTTGCAAAGTGGAGGGGCATTCAACTCTGGGTAACTCATCCAGCTTTCCATCTGCATGCCTCCTGAAACTAGCCCATCTGAGCAACTTAATTCTACTATAATTCTTGTGCCAAAAGCCAGTCTCGCATACTGCAAAGTCTGCAGGACACAGATAAATTGCACTGAACCAAAAAAGCATGACTCTGGCCAAGAGCACCATCAAATTTCTCAGGTACAGTATTGAGACAGGATATTTAGGACATAGTGTTGCAGCCTGTATTGCCAATTGGCTAGCTGACCATTCTGTTGTTCAATTTCAGCTAGCAGCTGCTCTCTTCTGAAGTTAAGGTAGGACTCCTTTCATGATGGTTGGCAAACAGTCTGTCCTGATGCCAGCTATTAAAAGTACAGAAGGTTAGACTTAGATAAAATATCTTTATGGTTCTTACCACAGTGCAGGCATGTGAGTCAGGGGAAACAAATGAGCTTCACAGAAGTTCTACGTAGACAAATACAATAATTGTTGACAGTAATCTTACCAATTCAGAGGTCATCCAGGTATTAAAAAACCCAACACACATTCAGGAGGGCCCAAGGTTGGAAAGTAGTTTGGCAACAGAAGTTTGACTCACAAGATCTTTTATGGCATGCCTGTTTTCTTGAGTCATGCCTCTTCCTTCTGAGGGACTTCATTGAACACCTTTGTTCTCCTCATTTGATTTTTCTACACGTGCAAGGACTGAGGATCTTTCCAGCCTAGGCTCTGAATCAGCTTCTGCAACAAGTGACTGATCACCTGACTGCTCCAGAACTGCAAGCTCATCCTCCCAACAGGTCCTGCTCTTTCTGACCCTTATCTACATCTACCTGAGAGCCTGCTGGTTCCTGAGCTGCATGGTTAGAACCTGTTACATCCTGGTCCTTCAATTTAAAGTCTGACTCATCAATCCAGCCTATAACACCCAACCAGTTCAACACTCTCTACAGGACGTGGTTTATCCTTGACAATGGGGTGAATCTCACCCCACTAACTTCTTGTTCACTTCTTATCCCCCAAACCATATTCAGAATATCCATTGCAATAGGAATTGGGCCTATAATGTTCTGAGACAGCCCTATGGTTATGGTGGTCATAAAGTCCCGAGTTGAATTTAAATAAGCAATCTTACCATGGATATTGAAGTATCCCATAAGAACTGTCTGGGGAGGAGGGGGATAGGGTATGTATGTGTTTCAGTCCAAAGATTTTGTCATTGGTGTATTGCTAGCTCTGATTAACAATACAATAGCAAGAAGATCCTTGTTCTTGTCTGCAACCAGCATTTGATTAAAAAAACTCTGCAGTCAACTTCCACATGAATTGACTTTCTGGGAGTGTCATGGTCTGACTGCTGAAGCACGGTCAATTTCCAGAGCACTTGGTAGGTAAATGCAGTCCATGTGTCTGAGAAGATGGAGTCAAGCACCCACTGAGAATGTCCTTGGGTTCGAAGTGGGCATCAAGGAGACGGGCAGGGCATGAGGAGGGTGGATAGGGCAGGGCAGGAAGCATTAGGCAAGGAAACAGGAATGCCTTTTCACATGGAGTGACTGGGAAGGAGAGTATGATATGTGCAAAGAGTTGAAGGAGAACAAAGTCACAGTTGGAGAGTATACTGAAGGCTTTGGATTTGCTGAGGAAGGAATTGAAGCTGAGATCACAAACAAATTGAAGTTGAAAAGTATAACAGGAATCAAAGCATGAAGCACAGAGCCATATACTGAAGCTGCTTCAGTGACTGAAGTGGCAGTGTTGAAATCCCCTCCCAGCCGTGTATGCACAGTTGCAGTTCCATTTGCTCAGGCAGCACCACCGATGAGGCACCAGCCTGCCAGCTCCAGGTATGGAGCCACTTGCTTGTGAGTTACCTACATTTGCAGGCCGTAGAGACCTCATGAGGTGGTCGGGATCATCTTCCACAGCATCTGGCACCCACATCAGTCAGGGAGGTCCATGCTGGTGGAGGAGGGGCCTGGTGGCATTGGATCTCGGGAAATGACAGGCTCACTAGTGTCCTCCATGCCCTGATCTACTGGTGTCTACAAGTGGTTGTGACAGTGAGACAGTTATAACTTAGACAGATCACTGGATTCTCCCCAACCTTCCTGGCTTTTTCTACTTACGTGATGATGTACTAAATATCTGACTGGGCAAAAGTGAGTCAGGTCTCCCCTGCTCCCCCCATACACATCCCTATTCAGTAAGCCAGTTCCCAGTAATGCAAACTAGATCAGACCTTTCATCCATAATTCACACTGACCTAGTATTGAACAACACTATCAGGTGGGAGACGAACTTGGCATGGTAATCCAGACTTGCTGATGGAAGG